TTTTTTTTTTTTTTTTAACACTCACTCACACACATATAATAGTTTATACCACCAAAGAGCACATTCTGCAAGTCTACCTCCTGGCTGCCATCTCTCTCAGTCCCTCTCTTTCCATGAATCTAGTCCTCAGCTGCTCCCTCTTTCCATGTCCCCATCTCTGCCTCTATCTCTGGTGTTGCTGCTTCTCTGGGTAAGGTCCTGCATTCCACTTGTGCTCTTCTGCCTTGATGGTCCTAGGGTCCTCTGTTTCTGGACTGTAAGATTAAGTATGCTTCCATGAGTCTTGATAATTGATGTAAGCAAAATAAAGTCTCTGACAACTTCAGTATTTTTTCCATTTATTTATTTGTTATTTATTTGTCCAGTAGTGAGAACTTTTGTATTCCTTACACTGAGGTATAATTGATACAGAAGGCTAGTCTTTAATTTTCATAAGTAAGCATTTAAGTTACATTGGCTTTCTGCAACCAGTGTTGTACCATCTGCATATCATAGGTTAATGAGTCTTCCTCCAATCATGATGTCACTTACTTCCTCATATAATCAGCTTCTCAGATTATTTGTTCAGCATATAGATCAAATAAATATGGTAAAAGAATACTACTCTGGCACACACCTTTCCTGGTTTTAAACTATTTGGTATCCCCTAGTTCTGTTCTAAGGAGCTCTGGTAGCTTAGTGGTTACAAATCGGGCTGCTAACCTCAAGGTCGGCAGTTTGAAACTACCAGCCATTCCATGGGAGAAAGATGAGACTTTCTGCTCCTGTAATGATGTATAGCCTCGGAAACCCTGTGCAGGGTCACTGTGAGTTGGAACTGACTCCACAGTACTTAACAACAACAACAGTTCTGTTCTAACAACTTCCTCTCTGTCTATGTGCAAGTTCCTCATGACCACAATGAAATGTTTTGCAAAACCTATTCTTTGCAATGTTATTGATAGCTTTTCTTGATCCATACAGTTGAAAGCCTTTGCATAGTCAATAAAGCACAAGTAAACAGCATAGAGATTGAATAAATATGATTAAAAAATACAATTCTGACACATACCTTTAAAATTTTTTAAAACCATGCAGTATCCTCTTGGTCTGTATGAACAACTTCCTCTTGGTCTATGTACAGGTTCTGTATGGGCACAATTAAGTGTTCTGGAATTCCCTTTCTTTGCAATATTAGCCTTACAGTTCTATCTTTAGTATATCACTGTTACTGCTTTGTGTTCATAAATCATTTTATCTCATAGAACAGTGGGTAGTTTCAAACTGCTGACCTTGAGGTTAATAGCCCAACTCGTAACCACTGCACTACCGGAGCTCCTTAATTAAGTGTATAGAAATATTAAAACAGTTAGCAAACTAGATATAATGATCATATATAGAACTTGCATTAAAAATTACAGAAGCATAATGGAATATTTATGAAAATTTGTCATGTACTAAATCAGAAATATGTTTTAACAAGTGTCAAATTATCTTAAGAGTACTGAATGTTCTCACTAACATAATGTAATTCAGTTAGAAATTGACAACCAAAGGATAAAACATACATTTGAAATTTTAAAACTCAAGTAAACTCATTGGTGAAAGAAGAAGTCAAAATAGAAGTTCAAAATATGTAGAATTCAATAAATTCAAATAGAATTCAAATTCAAATGAGTTAATGATTGTACAGTGTTAAAGTATTAATTTACTTAGTATCAGTTATAAAATGTCTATGAATATATCTAAGCAAAGGTATTAATTGCCTTTATTGAGAATATTAAGAAATGCTTTGACCCAGGGTTGCTAGTTTGCAAGTCAGATAAATGTGTGAGGAGATGACATGTATGATCAGACATTGGGATTTTGGAATTATCTCATAAGTGACTTAGTTCCAGATAATAACAATGGGAGTGGGATGCTGAACTGAAATGGAGGTGAATGTCAGTTAAATAATAAATATGGATTTATCAGGGATTCTTTAAAAACTTTATGTGTTATCTGAAACCATGGATAAATATATATATTTATTTTCTCATGAGAGAGAGCCTGACGTGGGAAAGGATTCATTAAAAGAAACTTGGAGCAGTGAGGAAGAAGAGTATGCGGGGTCTTCACGTATGGTGTCCTCCTCTTGGCATCCAGGTACAATTCTATCATGTCTAATTAGCAAAATCCAAAAGAAGGTAACGTTTCAGAGCTGTTCATAAAGACATTTCTGATATTAATGAAGAACTAGGAAAAACTTTTTTTAAATGATGAAAACTGATTATGTAGGATTTTAAAAAATAAATCATGCTCCTTACTTACAAGGACTAGCAGTTTTAGAAACGAATCCATTTGTGTTTACTTAAACTCAGAAATCCTGTGCAGGGTCACTGGGAGTTGGAAGCGACTCCACGGTACTTAACAACAGCAACAACAAATTCAGAATTATAGATTTGTATAGATTTAAGTAATCTCATCTGTTTCCTCATTTCTTCAGTTTTAAGTTGTTACACTTTATAAGCAAAAAATGAACTTTTTTTAACTAGAAATTTTCATACATGCTTATAATGGAGAAAATTTCAATTCAAATAAACATAATAAAATAATAATGAAGAATATTTGTAATTTTATCATTTATAATATAAATAATAATAACTAGATATATGAATGTATTGCATATATGTAAGTAAATTTTGTATATGATGTTGAAGAATTATATACACATTAAACCTTGGAGTTGGATAAGATCATCATTATCAAGTGAGAGTCATCTTCATTAATGTTTTTTAAAAAAATTTAAAATATATCAAATCTAATAAAGTTAGTATCACACTATGCAATGATTAAAATGCAGGCCTCATAAAATAGCATACAAGAAAACACTTTAAAAATTGAGGTATAATTTATACACAATAAAATTTACTCATCAATCATTCTGGGTTATCAAGTTTGTCAAAGTCCTATTTATATTCTTGTAACTACCACCACAATCAAGATAAAGTACATTTCTATTACTCCCCCAGTTTTTCTTTTGTTCTTTCGTAGTCTACCCCTATTCTCACCACTTACATCTGGTATTCACTGATATCTTTTCAGTGCACTGACAGGTGCATTTGAGTCAGCTGACTCATGATGACCTCATGTATAACTGAATGAAACATGCTGCTTAGTTCTGAACCATCTTCAATATAATGTATATGCCCGAGTTCACTATTATAGCCACTGTGTATTTTGAGTGTCCTCCAATCAAGAGAGCTGAGATTCCACTAGTATATCAGATGCTATTCTGTTGTGATCCATAAGATTTTCATTGGCTGATTTTCAGAATTAGATCTCTGGGACTTTCTTCCTATTCCATTTTTGTCTGAAAGTTCTCCTGAAACCTTTCTACCATATAATGGCCTATGCCATCATTATTTCAAGCATGCCAACAGTATTTCTATAGGTGACTCTTTCTGGTAGAATACTGGTTAACATATCAGGCTGCAAACCTTAAGGTCAGCAGTTCAAAACTACCAGCTGTTCCGCGGGAGAAAGATGAGGCTTTCTGCTCCCATAAAGATTTACAGCCTCGGAAACCCTGTACAGGGTCGCTATGAGTCAGAACTGACTCCACAGCACATAACCACAACCACTTGAAGTTGAGACAGTAGGGTGATAGCTTTTAGTACCACAAACTAACATAAATTTTTATTCCTTTTATTTTGTCTTTTCTGAAGTATCATAAAAGTAGAATTATAAATATGTAGTCTTCTGAGCCAAGTTATTGCATTTAGCCTAATATTTTTGAGATTCATCCATATCATTGCATTTATCACTATTTTCTTCCCTCTCTCCCTTTCCTTTTCCCCTCCTCCTTGACAACATGCAGGCCAGCATTGTACCACAAACTGAAAGAAAGATTATTCCTTTTATTTTTGTCATAAAAATGGAATCATAAACTTATGAGTCGAGTTGTTGCACTTAGCAAAATGCTTTTGAGATTCATCCATATCTTTGCATTTATCACTATTTTCTTCCCCTCCCCATATATATGTGTGTGTCTGTTTCTTGGTTTTCACTGTATTTCATTTATGTCTCTTATCTTTGAGTAGTAATACACTGTCTCAATTACTGACTATATCTTTGTTGTAAGTCTTATTCTTGTGTAACTGTACCAATTTGTTTATCCAGAAAGCCACTTAAATAACATTTGGGTTGTTTGCAGATTTTGGCAGTTATGAATAAATGAGTGGATTATGAATAAACTCATGATTTGATTTTGTGAAAACATATGTTTTTGTAATTTAGTATAACTCTTCAGGAGTGGAATTGTTGGCTCATAAATAAGCACTGGACTGCAAGGTCACTTTGAGCTGTGAGATTGGCAATTCAAACTCACCAGCTGCTTTGTGTAAACCTTATACAGGGTCACTGTGAATCAGAACAATCATAAGTATATAATTATCAAATGATTTTCCGAAGAGGCTATACCATTTTGCATCTCCACTAGCAGTGCATTAGAGTTCAAGTTACTCCATATCCTTGCTACTATTTTGTACTGTTAATTTCATTTTCCTTATTTTTGTCAGTAGTTAGATTCCACTCCCCATTCCTTCGAATCAGTTCTGACTCATGGTAACCCTATAGGACAGAGTGGAACTGCTCCACAGGCTTCCCAGACTATAAATCTTTACGGGAGAAGACTCACAGCTTTGGGTATTTAAACTGCAGACATTATCCCAACATGTAACCCACTGCGCTGATATGTTGTGGTATTAATTTGAGGTTCTCTAATGACTAAGTCCTGGTGTGGCACTGTAGTATAAGCACTGATTGCAAGGTCAGTGATTCAAACTCACCAGCCATTCCTCAAAAACCCTATACAGGGTTACTCTGAATCAGAATTGATGTGATAGCACTTAGCACAGCAACGTGGCTCCTTACGATAAGCATTGTACTGCAGACCACAAAGGAGGTTGTTCAAGCCCACTAGTTGCTCCATGGGAGAAAGATGAGGCTTTCTGGTTTAGCAAAGATATACAGCCTCAGAAACCCTATACATGGTCACTAGGAACTGACTGCATGACATTTAACAGCAAACAAGGACTGTGAATGGATCTCTGCAGACCAGAAGAGTTGTGGAATAACTGGCAAAGTGGCAGCATCAATGGGTTCAAGCATGGCAACAATAGTAACGTTGGTCCAGGATCAGGCAGTGTTTCGTTTTGCTGTGCATAAGGTCACTATGAGTCGGTACCAACTCAGTGGCACCTAACAACAACCATGGATGCCAAGTTGACAATGGGTGGACTACTGTGATGTTGCAATATGTTAGTATGACTAGGCTGAACTACTTTCCCCAGCATTCCATATCCCAACTGTTTCCAGCTAGATTGGGTCACAAGAGAGGTTCTCATGTGAGATAATGGAGGGCGAACATGAAGCAACATTTTGTAGCTCAGACACACTATTGCTGATTCCTTGGATTAATGAATTCTTTACACGGAAGGAATAACTCAACATCATAAAAATGCCAATCTGAATATTAATATCCAAAGTCATATAAATGTAATATCATTTTAATCAGAATTTCAACTGGGTCTTCAAGAGAATGAGAAAATAACATAAAAGATTGTATGAAGCAAAACATTCTGACATTCAATTTCATATGTTACATTACCAAAGGATTCTATTGGGGGAGGAGGGGTAGTGGAGAGAATGGCACAGTATGCATCAAAAGAAGAAAGAAGGAAAACAGAGTCAGTGTGCCAAAAAGAACTGGTTTAACCATTTCAGGAAAAATCATATGATCAAAAAACGCTAATACTAATGGAAAATGTTCAAACTGCAGTTAAGACATTGGCAAAAAACAATATTCCAGGTATTGAAAGAATACCAAATGAGGTGTTTCAACAAATAAATGTAATATTATAAGTGCATACTTGCCTACGCCATGAATCTGGAATAGGTCCATATTCATTGCTGTTCTAAAGGAAGAAAGGCGATCAGATAGAATAAGGATATCATTGAACAATATTATTAATATCACATGCTAGTGAAATTTTGCTGAAGATTAATTTAAAAATAACTGTAGCTGTATATTGATAGGAAAATTTCACAAATGTAAGCCAAATTCAGAAGAGGATGTGTTACAGGGCATAACATTGCTTTCAGTTGGGTATTGGACAAATGCAGAGAATGCTAAAATAAAGTTTTGTTTTATCAACCAAATGAAGTTTGACTATGTGAATCATAAAAAAATTATAGTTACAAAGAATCAGAATTCCAAAACACTTAATTGTGTCATGTGGAAATTGTACTTTGATCAAGAGAAAATCACTGGACTAGAACAATTCCAGATTAGAAAATGTGTGGTAGTGCTGTAGACTTTGAACTGTATTTATTCCATTTGTATGCTAAAGAAATAATCTGAGAAGTTGAATTATATGAAGAGGAACATGGCATTAGGACGAAACCAATTATCATTAAAAACCTGCACTATGTAGATGACACAACTCTGATTGACGAAAATGAAGACGACTGAAGTACTTAATGATAAAGGTCAAATACTACATTATTCAGTATGAATTATACCTGAACTTGAAAAAAACAATAGCAAATCCACAATTGGACCACTAAATAACATCATGATAAATGGATAAAAATTGAAGTTGCAGTTATTTCATGCTACTTGGATCAATAATCTAATGTCCATGGAACATTAGTCAATAATTCAGATGGCATACTATATTGGGAAAATGTGATGCAAAAGACCTTAGTGTTTTTTAACCTTTTTATTGTAAATTCGGTTAAGATTTATAAAGCAGATCCATTTTCCATTCAACAATTCATACACATTTTGTTTCATCTCATTGATTGCAGTCACCGCAATGTAAAATCACTTATGCAACTTTCGCCATGTTTCCTGTTTCTATTCCTCCTCTTTACTAACCCTTTTCAACTTTGTCACTGGGTAAAGGCTGTCCTATTGTAATCAAATGGTTGATTATCCTAAAGTGTCCATACATAGATCATGCTATTGTTCCCTTTATATATCCATTGTTTGACTGAAAATTGAGTCACAGGAGTGAGCTCATTTCCAGAACTGAAGAGTAATTACAGGTCATAGTCTCAGGGTTCCACCAGTCTATATTTAACCAGTCAGTCTGTTTTTG